AAACGCCCATTTGCAATGGAGTTGATCGAATCACAATTGGACTTACTGGTCTCTCTCTCTCTCTCTCTCTCTCTCTCTCTCTCTCTACCATGTTCCTCTTAGATGAGTGAGTGAATAAGTGAGTAAAGATTAACGTCGCACTGTTCAGCTACACGAGGGCTTTTGGCGACGGACCACGTAATTTTGAACCATGGTCAAGTGACGTGGACGACACCTGAGCTGGCACCCCCTCTAACTACCACACCACACCAACGGGAGGACGTTTCAGCTCTCGACAGATTTAGCGTGCATCGCTGCCCTACACGGCGGGTCTTTAGTGGTACTGGGCTCGAACTCGTGACAAAGTCAGCCACGATCCGATGCCTATACCACTCGGCTACCGCGGCCCCTCCTCTTAGATGAGAGTAGATTCAGTTTATGGTCTGATTATAAACGTAAGTTGATACGATGCGAGGTATAGATAAGGCTTGTTATCATAAAATACTTTAGAAAGAGATCGAACTTTCAGTCTAACGGGGAGACATAAAGAGTGCCGGTGTATCCATCCCGTGCTTGGGGTGGGTGCCCAGGAGCCCGGATAAGCTAGACTTAACCAGATTTTCTGGTTATAAATTTTGATCCTCCAGTGCCAAGTGGGCCTGTAAATTTTCAGCATCCAGGGCGCGAAATGAGCTTAAATCGTCACTGGACATAAATTATGGCAGTAAGGACTTTATATGCTTGTCCAAGGGCCCATAAGCGACTGACAATACGTTGTTAACTTTCTGTTCTCGCATTTTGGACTTTTCCGATGTGTTGTTGGAGAAGTTTCGTGTAATAGAGGATGATAACTCGACTTTACCATAACATATAGAATGTACAAAATTATTTTCCTGCTGTAGATATCTTTCTTATAGTCTGGCCATGATGTTTAGCCTAGCTGAATCCCATTCAAAATGTATAGGATGTCTTGGGGAGACGCGCATTGCTGAAAGAGAATTTCCACCCACGAGCAAAGGAAATTTCATTCGTACTGTGAAAGAGGAGTGGAATAACGCCTCAGTAACCACCTCAGTGGAGCATGTTCTATATATGACATGCCATATTGAAAGTTGCCTCGCACTGTTCAGTGATCACGTCCATTTTAGAAATGACCTAGTTGATAATTTGTTATAAGTGGATACGAACTACGGTCGGATACTAACTATGTTTTCGACTGTTTTCTTTGTACACCCTTACATTCAGATGATATGTACTTAATACAAGAACAACATTTTGTAACATCCCCGTAGACATCTTTTCAGTAACATTTTTATATTAAATCCTGTTAAACATATAAAAATCTAAAGCAGTGATTTCCAAAGTGGTCTATATGGACCCCTAGGGGTCTATGACGACCTACAAAGGGTCCACGTCAACTAAAAAATAATTTCGGGGTGCATGAGGTGTAAATGGGGGCTACGATAGCCTTAAAACCAGACGGTGATTTGAATTTTAAGAGAAACTTTAATGTTAACCAGATTTACCTGTTTAACAGCTTTATTTACTAGATTTACTGCGGTTAATTTTCAGTAACAAAAGAGACAGTATAAAGTTTATTAAAAAAAGACCATCATTTCAGTGTTTCTTGCCAGAATCAAGCTAAAGGAATACAGAAATGGACGTCACGAATTTTAACAGTTTCTCAATTTGTCACAGACATTCTGCCAGAAAAATGACGTTTTAATCTATGTTCAGCATTTAAATGCCCTTTATTCAGGTTTTGAAACTAGGTTTGAGAATGCTTTGAGACTATGGTAATATCACAGTAGGGGAAATGAATTCATATTGTCACATTAAAAACAAATGTCGTATTACAAAAGGAACTGATTTTAATAGCCCTAACGAAGATTTTAAAGTAAAGTTTAGAAACGAATGCCACAGCAATTTTGGCTTTAAAAAGATATACCTGTTATTTATCCCAAATTATGGAACACCTCAAGAAAGTTTTTAATTACTTTTTCCATTGAGTAGTTTCAATGCGCTTGCCAATCTCCAAAATAAAAACAGAAATAAAAACTACTAATCGAGAAGATTTAGGGTTAAGCCTTAAAAGATTAAATCCAAATGTTGAAAATTTGTTATTCAAGCAACAGATTCATCACCCCGCCCATTAAAAATTTGTTATTGTATGTGTAACAATTATTTCATATATTAATTACATTTTAATTTAATTAATTTACATGTGTTTCTTAAGTTTTAAACACTCTACTAAACTACAGTTAGAAACATAAAACTTTTAAAGTAAGTAGTGCTATACCAGCTGTCAAAAAACATTTAAGTTGATAAATCTGCAAAAATTTAATATTAGGTAAGTAGGGGGTCCACACAAAACCGAAAAACATGGCAAGGGGATGTCTTTGAGACAACAAAGTTTGGGAACCTCTGATCTAAAGAATTAAATGAGCTGGCCGCGCGTTATTATAGAATGAACAAAGAACGTTCAACAAAGAAAATCTTTTGGGCCAAACTCACTGGATCAAAAACTAAGGATCGCCTCAACCTCAGGTGGATTGACCGCCTAGAAAGGGATTTCACTACCCTAACAGTGACTAATTGGAAGACCATAGCCAAAAAAAAAAAAAAAAAGAGGACCGGAGGAAAATTCTTGAGAAAGTCAAGGCCCTCCCTGGGTTTTCGCATCATGATGAAGAACATGCTGTCTGTACCATTATTTGCGACTACGTTCGGAACCGTGATTTTAAAAAGGCGCATAAATGGATAATTTTCATGATATTTAGTGTGACTTAGAATAGAATACATGTATAAAATTGTTTTAAGGACATTTTGCCAAAAAAAAAATTATTTAAATACAATATTCCGGCTAAAAATTAACTTAGAATATCCTTTTTTCAAAATGTTCTCCTTTTGTGATAAATGCTTCTTTTATAATAATATTTTGCCTGTCTGCATATAGCTCAGATTTATGTACAGAGGCTCAACTATGAGTTTTGAAAAATTCACATTATTTTCAGAGTTACAACCATTTCAAATAATTATCGGTGTTTTTTTCTTAAAATTTCTCCCCTCTGTTGTCGCAAAATATGAATAAACCCACTTCTAAGCTATACATTTCAAAAATTCTAATTGAGCCTCTGAACAGAGGTCTGAGCTATATACAGGCCAAATATTATTCTAACAGAAGCATTTTTCACAAAAGGAGAACATTTGGAAAAAAGATTATTCTAAGTTAATTTTTTTGCCAAAATGTCCTTAAAACGATTTTATGCATATATTCTAATCTAAGTGAATCTAAATTATCCATTTATACGCTTTTGCAAAATCACGGCTCGAACGTAGTCGGGTATCTTAAATGCACATTTATTCTTTGCCCTTAAATTTCGACCTCAAGTGTATGTTTAAATGTATTCTAAATAAGTTCTTGAGATTTGTTTAAAAAAAATAGAAAATATTTTTTTTCTCTTTTTTTTAAAAAAAAATTCTACCCCTTATCAGCTTAAAAATTATAAATTTTCTGTTCTAACTCGCCCCTACTGATGATTATAATGGTCAGCCAGAAATGCTTATCGAGAAAGTCCACAATTGTTTGTATTGTATTCCCTACGTACAAAGTTTGAGCTTCCACGCATCTATCAAATGAAATGATCTATAGTCGGTCCCCGATTTAACGAATCTCACTATTTAACGAATTTTTCTCTTTCCGATTGAAATGAAGACGAAAACCCCTATTTAAAGAATATTAAACCCCGAATTAATGAATTATTTCAACAGCTGAAAAAAGTTTTTTTAGTTTGTGTTATTTTTTTTTTCAAATGACGCCCTTTTTGTGCAGAACTGAAAAAAGTTTTGTGTTGTAAGAAACAAATTTCGACGGGACAGGGACGGACGGGAATGTTATTAGACTTAAAAGGTGCAGATGAGTCATAAGTGCAACCTATCGTGTGAGTTTAGTAGTGAGTGTGTGTGTTTTTCGCGCGTACTTCACATTCCACTCTACAACGCAGAGGATATCTTGAGATTTTAAGGATTATGTTATATTTTATGACGAACTGTCTTTTTCAGCAACTAAAGTTCAGGAAATTGTTGATTTATCGAAGCGAATGAATAGCGATTCTGTTGCAGAAATAGATAATGAAACTCTTATCAAAACTGTTACAGTTTTTGAGTCTGTAACTTAAAAAATATTACCAATTAAACTGTTGAAACACATTCACATTAGAAATAAGACCCTTGAGTAACAACACACTTTTGCCATGACTTGTAAAGGTCATCGAAACATTTCTGGAATCCATTTTTAGCCATGCCCTTTAATTCAGCCTGCGATGCACTTTTAACTTCATCGGTAGATTGGTCTTCGTTTAACATGCGAGGAACGATATGCTGACACACCCTATGCATATTAAGATCCATAGTCAGTATCCATTTACAAGTGGCCGAGGATTTCCCAACTGATTCATCTATTGTTTGAAGTCTGTTCTTACGTTCCACCGCAAAAACCTTTTCATTGTTTTCAGCGGTGCAGGAAGACTGCAGACGTCCAGAACGTTTGTCGTCTTCGACACTTTCCTCGTCTTCCCTGAAACATTGATAGCACTCAAAATCTTTTTTTTTTTTGCGATAATGTGTCATAGCCTTACACATGCTTCAAAATTTCGTAGTCTCTAGCACTTTTCCCAAACGAACACTAAATTAAATATTCATTATCTGCCCAACAAACGCAATTTCTTTCAATCGCCGAAGACTAAATGCATCCGCCTACAAAATACGACGCCGTGGCGAGCCACAAACCAAGTGATTTGGAAACAAACATTTCTTAGAAAAGGAGAAGAATGCAGTAACTCAGAAATGTTATCATAGACGTTCTACTGCGAAGAATTTCCACGTTATAGGCTCAGTCCGTGAGCTTTTAAATCCTATCTCGTATACAGATCGGTTTACGGGGGCGTCGTATTAAAACGACCTCTTCCTTTCGTGCGGTTGCTGTCCGAAGCTTTAATAACAATATTGTTGGGGCTCTTTGTGCGGCTATCCAGTGGTCGACCAGCCAGTATGGTGGCTATGACCCTCGGCTTGTACCCGAGTGGGTTCGGGTTCAAATCCCGAGTAAGATTTGGTTGTATCTTCTTCGGGAAAGAAGTCAGTCTTTCACCTGTAATGGATTCTCGTCTTGAAAGGAAAAGCAGCGCAACTCTTCTTGTTATATGCTGGGATCAACATCTGTAATAAATGTGTATATTCTTCTGTTCTGTTGTATGCTTTCTGTTCTTCTTCATTTGTATTTCATATGTTCCCAGGATAAAAAACAGACAACAACTACTGAATCCAGAACATTGATAATTTATTTTACACACTTCAAAATTAATGTTGATCGAGCGACATACACAAGTATAATTGCTATACTTTCTCGATATACAGAATTTCTGAACATATTGAGACAAGTCCGGGGTTTGGATAAGCAGTAAAAATAATTTCTCGTTAAGGGTCCCAGATGCGTGTTGTAGACAAGTGATAGCGTTCAATGTCAATTGCAGTTGCGAGTTTGAAGATAAAAAAATTTACGGTTGGTCTGAAAGTGAGAGCCTGAAGATAAAGTTGATATCGGAGAGGGTGAATCATGGTCAAGTGACGAGGATGACACCTGAGCTGGCATCCCCGTCTTCTAACTTTCACACCACGCCAACGGGAGGTTGTTTTAGCCTCGACATTTTTAACGTGCATCGGCGGGTACCGCTGAAGACCCCTCTGCTCGGCGGGACTTCAGTGGTACTAGGCTCGAACTTATGACACGCCGGAAATGAGTCCCTTGCCCTGACCACGAGGTTACCGCAAAAACCCCGTCAAAATAACAGTCAAGCCGCAAGTCCTCTCGTGAGCATTCTCTTCAGAATTTCTACACCATACTAACGGGGGTGGGGAGACTCTTGAACCATCAGCTTCTCTACACGGTGGGTATTCAGTTGGCACTAGGTGTTCCACTGATGACACAAGTTCGTGACCAAAACTACTCACCTACCGGGGCCACAAGTCACTTCTAGAGTTAGTGAGTGAATATTCACGTCGCACTGTTCAGCTACACGAGGACTTTTGGCGACTGACCTCGTAATTTTTAACCCTGGTCAAGTGACGAGAGCGACCCCTGAGCTGGCACCGCCTCTCCCAACTACCACACCAACGGGAGGACATTTGAGTTCTTGACAGATTTAACGTGCATCACACCCCATACATGGAGGGTCTTTAGTGCTACTAGACTCGAACTCGTGACACGCCAGCCCCGACCCGATACCTTGACCACTAGGCTATCGCGGCCACGAGTCACTCCTAGAAGTAATACGTTTATTTGAAACATACCCGTTTTTTTAATCACAGTGAAGTAACGAGAACGGCACCTCCGCTACGAAAGATCTTAATGCATGAGCCCCACTACCTCGCAAGACTTCTGTTAAGGCTGTTTTCGGTTAATGTTAAAGAATATGACCCGAATTTGGAACATTTTTTCAGATATAAAAGAAATGAAAAATTAATATGATATTCGGGCTTCTCTAACCTTCAGAAAGCAGCAATTTTTTTTATCATACTTCCCTTTTTTAACAGACTTGATTCATTTTTTCTGGTATAAAATGTGTTTCACATTTTTTATCCTACACCGTAATGTTAAATGGGCTTTGCCTTCACGTATTAAAACAAAAAAGAAAGTATTAACGGAATATTTTGAAATTTTTAAAAACACTATATTGTTAACAGAGGTACGAGTTATAATTTTGCAAATTTCCATGGAAATTGGGTAATTTTTCTGTCTGAAAATGGGCTTCGAGTTCATTTAGAGCTCTCGTACTTTTACCGAAAACAGCCTTAAGAAAACATTTCACCCAATCCCAATATAATTTAATTTGTTATCTAATCTGCAACAGCAGAAATTACACTAATGTTACTTTATATAATTTGGAATTACACGTTTAACTAAAACACATTTACTACTATAAAATAGAAAATGTATTTTTCTGTAGTAAATAAAGAGTTTTGTGTGTGTGTTAGTATTTAGTTTTATTATTTTTCCAATAATCACAAGTCAAAATTATTAACCTTATTTAACATTTCTTTAGAAAGAAATGGCACATCGTTTCATAAAGGTTCGCCACCCCTGATCTATAGTTAACCAATAAATTATTTTTCATTATTAATTTATTTAGAGCTTCGTCAGATTACGTTCCAAAATTTTCTCCGGAATTATTTCTCAGAAGAAAAAGTATATACAGTTACTCCCAAAATTGAGGGTACACCTACTTTTAAAACGGGAATCAATGTTTAGAATGAAAAAAATATATTAAATGAGGGAAATAATTAAAACCTTTAAGCATAGATGCGTTTATTAGATCATAATTCATTATTTTGAATGATAAAAGAAAACATTTTATAGTTTTAACATACATATAATAACTTATAAAGAAAATTAACAGAAATTAATAGCCACAAAATTGAGAGTACATGCATCTATTTTCCTGCATAAATCATGAATAATAAAGAGTTAATATTTAGTAGCATAACCTTTTGCTGATATGACAGCTTCCAATTGTCGAGGCATCGATTCCACAAGACGTCTAGTGGTCTCGGAAGCAATATTCAGCAATTCTTCTTGCAATACCAATTTTAATTGTTCCTTGCTTGTAATTCGATGTTTTTGCACAGCTCTCTCAAGGTGGGACCACAGATTCTCTATAACATTTAAGTCGGAAGACTGTGGAGGTGTATTAAGTTGTTTCCGACAATGATAAAGCAGCCATTCTTTTACAACAATCGCAGTGTGTTTGGGATCATTGTCTTGTTGGAATATGAAATTCTACTCCAGTCCCAAATTATCAGCACTTTCAAATTATTTTGTAGTATATTAAGATAAGCCATCTTGTGCATGATTTCATCAATGAATACTGGCTTTCCCACCCTCGACGCAGCCATACACCCCCAAACCATCACCGACCCACCTTCATGCTTTACAGTAGGAATTGTGTGTTTTGGGTGGTGTGAGGTATTTGGCTTACGCCACACCATACGACGACCGTCACTGCCGAAGAGGTTGAACTTACTCTCATCGCTGAAAATGACTTCGTTCTAAAACTGTCGAGGCTTTAAAATGTGTTCTTTAGCGAATTTCAATCGCTTGACTCTATTCCTCTTACCAATTAAGGGCTTTTTTCGAGCTACTCTACCATTATAGCCAGCCTTTCTTAGGACTCTTCGTACCGTTTCTGCAGAAACAGATCGACCTAAGGTATTAGAGGTACTGGCTGCAATTTTAGGTGCACTAATTTTAGGATCAATCTTCACTTGATGTATAACTCTTCGCTCGGTTATAGAGTTCATAATTTTCTTTCTCCCTCTTCCTTCGTTATTTGCCAGTATACCAGTCTTTTTAAATCTTTGCAGGATTTTTTGAATGCAGTTAACACTTCGTCCAACTACTTTAGCAATATTCCCCAGGGATTTACCTTCATTTGACAGTTAAATAACAATTTTTCTCTCTTCGATCGTCATTTCCTTCCGATTCTCCCTTTTAATTAGGACATCAAATTACAAACACAAATTTGTAATCAGATAGCCTTTGAAAGCCTTTCTTTATCATAGATCGGTTATCAAATTTCTATTTGAAAAATTACTGGTAGTTTTGCATAGTGATTAAAGAAGTGTACCCTCAATTTTGTGACATTAAAATAGTGTAGTTTTTCTTTCGAACCTTCATATTTTTGTTTCTCAATCAATTTCCGTATCTTACATTTAATGTTATTTGGAAGAGTAATGTATGCATTTGGAATGTACAAAAGTGCGTTGACATAGCGTATTAATTTCTGCACCTGGTGATCCAATGGTGAATTCGGAATTAAGTGTACTCTCAATTTTGGGAGTCACTGTACATGTTTCAAAAGAATGTTGAATTTACTCTATGAGGTTTTCAAATTTTATTTTTAGGAGGTAAATTGACAGGGCAATTAATAAAAGCTATATAAACATATATGTTCCAAAATTTAGTTTCAAATCCCACTTTAGAGATTTTTAGTCTCGCTAAAAATAATTCCGTACAATTTTCTGTGAAGCGGATGGTTTTTCACAAATCATTACCATCTCAAGTATTTAAAAATTAATAATGAATATTAATTTATAATTGGAGAAAAAAATAAAGAAAAATTTTGGAAATAAATTTCGTTTTCTGAAGTCAAAACCGAATTAAAATACGAAATACCGTAGGGTGATGGACTACCTTCGAAACCGTGATTTTGAAAAAGCGTATAAATAGATAACTTTTTTTGATATTTAGTGTTAGTTGAATTAGAACATACATATAAAAACTTGTTTTAAGAAAATTTTTTCCAAGAAAAAATAATATTTAAATGCAATTTTCTCGCAAAAAATAAAGAAACAAATTACATATTTTCAAAACATTATATTTTTATGAAAAAGACTTATGTTTCTTTTAACATTTTGTCTACATATGTAGCTAGGCCTTTTATATACCAGGGCGAATTAAAATTTTGGGGAAAAAATAATTTTGAAGTAGATTTATTTTATTATATTAGAGTGTAGAGCAATAGTAGCAAAAAAAAAATCTCTCTTTATTTCAGTCGATCGTAACTCTGAAAATATGGGAGTTTTAAAAAAGTTTAGTTTAACTCCGGTATATAGAAGCAATATATAGCCAAAATATCTTTTACAAAGCTTTTTTTATAAAAGGAGGTTTTGGAAATAGGTCATTTTTTTCTTCATTTTTTGACAAAAAGTTGCATTTAAATACTTATTTTCTTGTACTATTACACTTAAAACAGTTTAATATGAGTATTTTAATTCAACTGACGCTAAATATTAAAAAAAACAATACATAAATCATTTGTACGCTATTTCAAAATCACGGTTCCGAACGTAGTCAATCACTTTAAATTGAAATATGTATGATTGCAATATAAAAAAATCAAGGAATGTTAAATACAACCGTTCCATGTCACTCCATTTCGGTGATAAAGAGGGGCCGTGGTAGCTTAGTGGTCAAGGTAACGGACTCGAGGCCGGCGTGTCATGGGTTCGAGCCAAGAACCACTGAAGCCTCGTTATGTAGTGGTGGGGGTAATGCACGTTAAA